ATTCGTGATATTTTAGCATACGATCGAAACCTAGTTAGAGCTCGCTTTTTTTGTAAAGAGATGAAGTAATCTAATGGAAGATTGCTGTTTCTGAATGCCTCTAAATTCCTAGTACCAATACAATGATTATTCGAATACCATTTCTATGTAGCAGAGCTTTCTAGTATGAAATATGCTGATCACAATACTAAACTATAGACAGAGTTACTGTATTAGTTTCAACTCGATTCAATCCACTGTAACTGAGTTACAGTCTCCACAGTCAAGTAGATAGTTCAATTCTAGAACCGATTGATGAAATTATTACGATAGACAGTTGAAAAATACTACTAAATAATAAAGAATCGATCAACTCGAAATGTTTTCTCTTTTTAAAGTTATTATATTCAAAGGATGTCCGCACAGATTTTTTAACCTTCATAGTGTATTACAGCTTGAAATAGAGAGAGAACACTTTTGTACACTATTAATTGATCAATAGTAGTTTGATAAGATTATTTCGAATTATAGAACTGTAAGCTATGATTTATTCAATCTTATTGTTGATTTGCCTTAGAATAATGAATGGTCCGAAAATTTTTAAGATGAAATCTTCTTTCATTTTTCGATCGATTAAAAGAGCTAGCAGAAGTTCGAAAACCTAGAGTTATAATTAAGAAAGATCTGAAAATAAAAATTTCAACAGATTTTAGTGCATAGAGAATTGTTTACAGTAACATATAAATTTACTTCAAATACATCAAAAGAAATAATCAAAATCTTTCTCCCTAAAATGATATACTGATGTTTAGTTCTCTGTCAGGCATCTATCAATAATAAGAGTTTCTGAAAAAGACTCATTGACATTTTCGTAGATTTTTGATTTTAATACTTACAAAATCAACGGGCCTATTTCTGGAGAATTGCTGCAAGATCTTCGATCCTTAGCGCATTTTATACTATGTCAAAAAATCGTTTATAGGACATATGCAATCGGATTTCTCGTCATTGAACTTGTTGATCCCATTGTTTTCGTTCAAAAGTATTTGTCAAGTTATTCAAAGATTCATGCATAAATCTTTATTTATGAGCTTCACAAAAGTTTCGAACTTAAAATCAGGAGGAACACAAACTTGTGATTCTAAACTGAAGTTTACAAATTTCTGCGGATCAATCGAGAAATGAAAGAACAGTTTGTCTCAAAATTTTCGGATTACCTCTTAGTTTCCTTCGAAATCAACAGAAAAAAATAGGCTTTAAATTACTCTATTTTCTGTTCTCTCATCTTTAAAAATTAGATGCAAAACAATAATATTTAGATTTTCTTTTTTTGACGTTAAAACCGTTAGATTTTCAATTTTATACTTACATATTTGATTAACGTTGATTTTGTCTTTGAAATTATTATCTAAATAATGAAAAAAAAAAAATATTCTTATTAGATATTGAACAATTACAAGGTAAAGTCAATGAACTTTTACATGAAAATAAACTATTACAAACTCAATATGACGAACGTAAAATTCATATACAGTATGTATTTGTTAAAAATAATTTCTTATTTAATATTAATTATTTAGATATCTTGAATCAAAATTACATCAATCTGATTCAAATTTAACTTTAATTCTTGATGAAAATACATCTCTTAAACAACGTCTTCAATCTTATGAACATACAGAACAAACAATTCGTGATATGGTTATTAAATATACAATGAATAATCAATATGATGATTTATTTAAAACAATAAATAAAACTCTTGCTATATATGAACAACGTCTTGGTTATATAAATAAACGTTTTCTTGTTCTTCAAACATTATTTAATCGTCAATTATTATCTTTATCAACGAAACATTATGTTACTATTGCTATACAAACAGAAGATGAACAATATATTGATTTATCATTACTTGAACGTGAATTAAAAACTGTTTCAAATGAACGTGATTTACTTGCACATAAACTTGATCAAGAATATGAACAATCAAAACAACATTTCGAACAAATCGAACAAAAATATAAACATGAATTTGTAGTTAGTAATGAAAAATTAGCAATGATGCAATTAATTTTAGAAGAAAATACAAATAAAATTCAATTATATGAAATAACATTAATTGAAAAAGATAAACAATTAAAAGAATTAACAGAAAAATGGATACACGAACAACAAAAACAAACGGAAAATATTGATTTATTAAAACGAGAATTTCAAGTACGAGATTCAAATATTTATTCTCAAAGAAAAATATTTATTCTTTTTTAGGAACGAGAAGAAACCATATTAAATGAAAAAGATAATTTAGAAAAACAATTAAACGAAGCTAAACGTGAACAAGCTAAATTTGCAGCTAATTGCAGGTCAGTTTTATGAAACACTATCTAAAAAAGAATATTGAATTATATAGAATAGAAATTTGTATCCACACCAGACCTTGTCGGATTGGTTTCAGACTTATTGGACTCTAGTTGTCTGAAAAATGGGTAGAGTGCGCTAGCCAACGAATACTAAAATAAATCGAAAAAAAAAATGTCTCGTATTTTTCTGGTCACCATCAATTTCAATTAAAGAATTTGATTGAGAATATCAAAGTATAGTTCAACTGAGTGCAAAATTTTCGAATTCAACGCGTTCTATTTACGTTCTCTCCTCTTGTCAAAGACCGTGACAAACTGTCTATCAAAAGCAACTTATTACAATATATTCTCTATCCCTTTATTGTATTTATTGAAGGATTAAGTAAAAGTAAGGTGCAGGTATGTGGTCCAAAATGTATCAAATAAAGCAATCTTTCTCTAATTAGTAATGACAGCTACATCGAGTTTCATATTTTAATTCCGCAAATGATTTTGCTAACAGCTTATTTTTCTCGGAAACTAAGAATAACAATATTTGTTTTTTTTCTTTTTCTTCTATTAATTTCTAGACAAATGGAACGAACAACAACTCGTGAAAAAGAACGTTGGCAACGTCAAATAGCTGATGCACAATCACGATCGGATGTTGAATTAGATAAACTTACAAAACGTATAATGACACTTGAACGTGAACGTAATCTACTTATGAAAACAATTCATCAAGAAAAATCTTATTCACCACAAATATTACCATCGGATGATAATGATCTTCAATATCTTGTTTCAGAAATTCGTCAATTAGCAAGTCGAGCTTTAGATGAATCAAGTGATGATGAAGATATGAATAAAATATCATAAACAAAATATTAAATAAATTTCATTCTTTTTATTGTACAAATTTTTGACAAACAAAATTTTTTGATGATAATAAAGTTTTATTAAAATAATTAAAAAAATCTATCTTATATTATGATAGATATCTAATATAAGTTGTAATTCCTTATTCATTTATTTTTAATCTGAAAAACTAACTTGAGTATATGTCTCAACAAGGTTGAATACACACATGTGACTTATGTTTGTCAAATATGAAGAATAGAAGAAAAAAAACATAATAATTCAGTCAGAGAAAATATGATACGATGGTTGATTACACCAAATTGATTTTTTTTCATATGTAAAATATGAATAAATATAAATAATAAAACATCAGTGAATTTTACTATGAAACTTATAGTATCATTGAGAGTTACTTTTAAACCATAATTCAATTGACTAATAGTCTTTATTTAAAAGTTATATCCATTCAAAAATGAAATATAACGTAATTTGTTTTTTTATAATTACTACAATGCACAATGATCATTGTTAACAGTCAGTAGAATTGCAGATATGTGCATTTTAAATACGGCACTATGATTATTAGTATTTACAAAAGAATAAACGAATCATTGATTCTTTCTTTTTTATTTTTCTCTTTCTTATGAGTAAAAATAAGAAAAAAGTCTTACACCATCTCTTCTTGCTTCATTTTAAGAATGAATTTTGTTGAATTTATTTATGGCGGTCCGAAGATAAGGTTCGTACGCATTCATATTAATGAGTCTGAGAGTCTTTATGCTGAAAACCCATATCAAACATCCGCATTTTATAACTACGATGTATGAATAAGTACTCCTTACCCACATGTGACCGCCACCAATATTTTTTCCTTGCTAATTGAAATTAATAATGTAAAAAATTGTACTTCATCTAATAATATAAAAATTAATTATTTTTTCATGACTAAAATTTTTCACCAATGAATAATATTCATAAAAAATGCTATAAAGGTTTCATATATACTTGATATTAATCTAATATTTAAAAACGTCAAAAAAAAAACAAGAAACTTTATTTATGTGATCTGAAGTACCATCACAGTTACTATTTCTAAATTAATTTCTTCATTATGGAAAAAGCATTGTTTATTTCGAGTTATTTTATGTGTTTTAAATAAATAGAAAAACAAAACATTCTTGTCTGTTCTGTTTTGATGTTTAGCGCGTCACAACGAAGTGTTGCACAACCTCAATTTTTTGCAGCATAATAGTATATATGAATACTAAATCATATGCGGTACGAAATGGGATTGTATTTCTTAATTGGAAGTATCACTTCCACTATGCTGAAGGGCCATATCACATCCGCTGTTTAATAACATCCTTAAATGAAAAGAACATATTATCTAACTTATAAAGTACAGTCCCATCCAACATGACCGCACTATTTTTCCCTATCAAATAATTTTTTTCAATCACAAAAAACAATCAATTGAAAGATATACTAATTTATTTTCATATATTTTGTTCTTAAAAATACAAAAAAATTGATATATTTGCCTTTAAGTTTTGATCTTTCTCACATTTGTCGAACCTTGATATATTTATCCTTTTACATTGATGAATAATAAGAATCGACGTTACCAAGCTTAATGATCATGATCAGTGATGCATATCGAAATAATCAATCAACCACGCGACATTTTTATCATATTTCGTCACTTTATACAAAAAATATTAACAGTGTTTCGTTGCGCATTTTAAAACAAGGACGACAATATTGTGTCGGAAGAAAATTTGTAATTCTAATCGACATTAAATCTTCAAATCAACTGCAATGGATAGTAAAAAATCTGGTGCAACTGCATCATCAGAAACTGGAAAACATGGTGAAAAGAAAGATAATAATTTTTTCTCAAAAACTGCTCGTTCAATTCGAGAAAGAGTACAAGAGATAACGGATGATGTTAAAGGAAAAACACAAACTTTAACACGTATTAATGAATCCAAAAAAAAGCATAAACATAAAAATCCAAAGACAAAAGATACTGAAACAAATCGATTATCAAAATCTGCTACAACTGGTAGAAAAGATTCAGATTTAGATTCGTCTGATGAAGACAGTTCAACAAAACCACAATCTCCACATTTCACTCCTGCGAGTATGTACATTTGAAGGAAACAAAAAAAAAATATTTATTAATTATAATAATAATTTTATTCCAAGAAACTGCTAACACATCAGATATTTCACGATCGAAACCACTATCATCAGTCGAGTCAGAAAAGAACGATGCTGTACCTTCTGCTCGATCAAGTAGAATTTTCTACAAAAGTTGATTATTTTTTTCTATAAATATTTCTTTTTCTCTTACTTAGAACTTCCAACTGATAATTCAGCTTCAAATCGTACAGAAAATAAATCATCTACTGATCATAAAGATGCTGCTGTTGCTGCCGCTGCCACCATCATCGCATCATCTTCTTCTTTAAGTAAAATATTTGTCATGATTAATATATTCTACAAATGATTTCATTCAGAACCATCTGATAATAATTCAGCTACGAAACCTTCAAGTTCATCATTGAATAACGGTTCAAAATCGACAACGGAGAACTCAAATAATAATACAGATGATGAAGAAGTAACAAATACATCATCTTCTACAAAAAACAATACCGATCGAGTTCATCTTTCATTTGATGGTTTGAAAATTAGTAATTCGTTTAAAATTTTCTTTTCTTTTATTCTATTATAGGTATAAATACTGTCAATGATTTGCTTGACCGAATAGATGAAACTGTTGAAAAGGCTAAACTTGTTATAGAAGGTGGATCAGGCAAAATTGGTCTCAATATTAATAGAGTACCATATGTACCTAAGCATTCTTCATCTGATGTCGAAAAAAAGCCTAAAGAAAAAATTGAAGACAAAAAACAGGAAGAGATACCAAAAAAGAAAGAAGTTAGAAAAGAGGAACCAGTGAAAGACGAAGATGAAGACGAAAAACAACCACTGCGTATTGACTATAACGAAATACATACTATTGAAGATCTTCTCGTTAAACTTAATAATCAACCAGGAAATCGAAAAGTTGTACTTGAAAATGAACCTGATAATGCTGATTCAATCACTATACAAAATCCAACTGATCGATCTTCTACTACTTTGTTGACATCAATAAAGTCTGATGATAATGATGATACATCAACAACAATAAAAAGTGTTTTAAAAACAAGTCAAGATCCATCATCATTAGACACAGCGACTAAAATATCATCATTTCAAGATGATCAAATTCATGTCAATATGGAAAGTGTTCAAAATATTGGTGAGCTTTTAGATCGTATTGACGATGCTGTTCAACATGCTCCCGTTATCATTGAGACAAAACATCAAGAAAAAAAACGACAAGGTTTGTTCGTTTGTTTTTTTTTTATAATTTATTTATCGTTCAGATATTCTTTATCTATGTCCATAGCTCCAGTAGCACCACATCGAAATATTAATAATGATGAACTAGAAACAAAAACTTCTGTATTCACTAAAGAACAAAAAGGTAAGTTGACGTTTGTTTTTTTTTTCGTTTTTTAGTAATAATTAACTTGATTATCTGCATACGATTATTTTTCCATTTCTTAGTTGCAGATGCTTCTATAGAAACTGATGAGGAAAGTAGTCAGGATGAATCATCACAGACAACATACAAAGCAGAAACAGGTGATAGAAAAATCTTTCTTTATATAGTTTTATTCGTTTTTCTAATTTTAGCTTCACAACCGGATAATAAACAAACAAACGATATTGGAATTTCAACCTCTAAAATATCTAAACATCATGATCAACAACAAACATCATCTTCATCAGGGAGAAATAAAAAGAAAGATGACAATGAAGAAGTTGATTGGATATAATTATACAAAAAAAAAAGAAATCTTTCTCGTCTATTTTTCTTTTTTAATTGAACAAAAATACAATTGAATCCCAATCATTTGCTTCTTTTTTTTCTTTAAATAGAAATAAAATAAGTTGAAAACGAGAAAAAAAAACAAGTCGAATAAACCAAATTTATAAGTAACAAATATCACATTACAAAAAAAAATGAATAAGAGTTATGTTTATATAGTAGACGATGGGGAAAAAGTTGAACAACAACGTATCTTGGAGTTTTTTCTCTATTATGTTAAGCAATTAGCTCAAATCCAGATCGTGACTTTACTAGCCAATGTAGTTTTTTTTTTATCGAGATTTCTAAACATTTGGACATGGTTATTTTCAGGTCCCAAAAGACTTTTTTTTACCAATGACATTTTACAGAGTACAAAATTCTGAACGAAATGAGAAGTCGTCGTGAAACGAAATTTACAAAGGTTTGTTAGCGCAGTCTCTTCCGAGCTGAAACGTGAAATTGACTTGTCTTCTTTAGTCTCATGATACTCATAGAAAATACATAAAGTGTAAATCTCTTGCAGATTATCGCTGGTTTTCAATATGATCAATCGTCAGAGAAGCAATCCGTTTTATTTAGTTCTGCATTTCACACAGAAAATTTTCTACTTTTTCTTTACGTTGTTGTTATTAGTTCACTTTTTTTTCGTATTCCTTTCTTTTTTTATTTTAACTATTAACTTAGCTGTAAAATAAGCCTGTTATACAAATTCATTTTATCTGCAGTAGATCTCAACGCACTATTAATATAAATTGATAAGCTTACAAACACTGATATTGATTTTTATCCTGGAGCTATAAATTTGACTACTTCACACTTTTTATGCTAATCATATAACGATTGTAACACATTAATACATCGTCATCGTTGATCCTTGGCATCTTAAATAGAAATTTTTATCTGTGCTAAAATCAAAAACTACACTATTTAGAATATGTGTAAAAGTTTTTCAGTCATTCAAATCTCGAGTAAAATTTTGAAATGTTCTAAGACAGTCTAAGCTTTGTCGTTAATGCTATTCAGTATCGTTTTTTCCTTGCTAAGGAATTCTATGATCTATTACTCTCCGTGGCTAAGATCTGTCATAGGGAGATGAAGTCGTAAAATTGCGATTTACTACTGTGTCTAATTTTTGAGAAACATTGGCATCATATTTTATCTATGAAAATCTTGGTAAAAGAAAACTTCATTGATTATTCAAATCACTATCTAGATTTCAAGTAGGTGTTTACACATTACAGCAAAAAATAGTCAAAAATACGTTATTGTTAAAAGTTCATCTTTCATCATCTTGTATATATGTTTATTATTTGACAATATTTTGCCACCATTTTGAATAATAGGTTGCCACTTCAGCAACATTTGTTGTTAATGGACGAAATGAAGCTAAACTAGAATCATTTCCAATATTATTATTATTACTAAGTTCTTGTTCGTGAATTAAATTTGATCTAAGAATATTTCCTTTTGATGGTCTTTTTTGACCAGACGTTGTTGAAGATAGATTAGTCGCTATTGGAAGTAATGAAAAACGTTGTGAACATGAAGAAAGTGAGAGAATATTATTTGCATCTTGACTATTCATTGTAAGTGGTTTTGATGGTATAAGACGATCATTCGTTATTAGATGTCCAAATAAAAGCTAAAAGAAAAATATCATTGAAATAAATTTAAAATCATTTTATTGTTTGTCTCTTACTGAAGAACGAGGAACTATTTTTTGTAGATGACTTTGCATATATGGTGAAAGAACATTTAAATCAAATGGATCAATTTCACTTTCAATATTTTCAATTAATTTAAAAAAACGTTCATTTAAATCTTTTGTATTCTATACAAAACAAGACGATCAATTATAGAAAATTTTAATTGTTTTTTTATTTTTTATTTTAAGAGTAACATACTGTACTATTATCTTTACGTTCAAGTAACATTTGAACAAATCGAAGATCATATACTATTTGAATAATTCTTGTTTGTATACGTTTTTTACTTATTCGTTTTTGTCCTTCAGTTGACCACCATGATTCATAAACATTTACAAATGTTTGTAAAATACGATAAGCCATTTCACTTGATAATTCTCTTTAAATAAAATAATTAAATAAAATTTTAATAAAATATAAAAATTTAATATTACTTATCAAGACCATGTGCTAATGCTTGATTAATTTCTTGACAAGAATAAAATAAAAGTTCTTCAATAAATGGTGTACAATACATAGGAACACGTATAACACTTTTATATGTTTTATCAACATCAAGACTCTCTTCAATTTCAATTTCATCCCAAATCTAAAAAAAAAAAACAGCAAAAAAAATATCAATCAAAAACAAAATAAATATAAACAAAAACTACCAGTGTAGGTATATCATCGAGAAATGTTGATAATTTATTTCGTAGAAGCATATCAATTTTAGCACATATATGAATAATCCATTGTCTATGAAAATGTAGAATAATGTTAGAAAATAAAAACCAAAATTTCTTACTTAAATAAATCAATATGTGTTGTCATAAACATATCACGAGTTTTTAACCATGAAGTCTTTTCTGTCTAAAATAAAACATAGAGTTTATGCCTTTGAAATATAGATTAAAATTCTGTATAGTTTGGAACAGTTTAATCCTATTAATTTCATGAAATACAAATCTTTTGGAAAATGTCTCATAAAATAATGTAAGAAGGAAAATTCAAAGAACCATTCGATCCAATAGAACTAGACCTTAAAGAAAATACAATCTTGTTTTCAGTAGAGAGTTCTCGCTGGTATTTATTCCAGTGAATCGCGAACACATGTACCGATTTTAAAGTTGTAATAAAAGTTAACTATTTTGAAACAATACTAAAACAGAAATAGTAGAGTTTTTATGTCAAACAAATACTAGACTTATAACTAGAGTAGTATCGAAGCATGCGGGCTAGAGATCGGAGGTATTAAGTTTTTTTGGTCATGATTTCGATCTGGTCTCGGTAATCTTTTTTTCACCGGTCCAGTGTCTTGTCATAATGTTGGTCTCAACAACTTCTCTTTTCCTTGACCGGGTTACGATTTCGACGAATTTTTTTCTCATAGTCTTGGACATCTCTAACTTAGACACTTACTTGAGTCAAAGATACAAGAAGTGGTTCGTCCCTATTTTTACCTTTAGAGATTCATAGAGTGAGTTAGATAGGTTTTTCATTGTAAGAATAAAGAAAAGAATAGTGAATTTGATCATTCGAAAACAATCAAATACAAGATGAAAAAACAAACGTAATATTCGAGTGCATTTGTCCAACTCATGAATATAACAATAAATTGATATTATTAAAAATATATTTGATAAACGTCTAATCTCATAAGATGGTTTGTGAAGTTTTCTGAAATAATCTCGTTTTATGTGAAATAGAAAGTTTTTAAGACTTATTCCAGCCCACGGAACGATTTTTTTTGATCGTTCCATCTCCTTCCAGACGAAGCGCTGGTACAAATGAATCGATCGATTCTTTGCTCACTATGAACACAATTTTTCGAAAAATTAGAATGTCAATAATCTATTCTACATTAGTAGTTTATCATCTGAGAATAATCAGAAGACATCAAATAAAAATTATATGTGACTAACTTTGTCCAATGTTCGTTTTGATTGAGAGGCTCCTCGAACTTTTCTAAAAATGAAGTTTATTATAACTATAAAAACATGATGTATATATATTCTATGATCACCTATCGTGCACAGGACTATTAACAGTATCCGTAATATTTGTAACAAGTTCAAGTGAACTTTTGAGATTCTTACAAACAATTGGTATTGATCGTGCACATGAACCAAGCCAAACCAAACTAAAATCAAAAACAAAAAATAATTTCTTTCTACTCTCAATAAAATAAAATCCAAACCTAGCTAAAGTTTGTTCTTCATTGCCAATTTTTTCATTATCATTTGCTATGTGTCGTAGACGTGCAAGTAATCTGAATAGTCATCAATCTCAGAATATCTTTCTTAAGAAAACAACAATATTATATTTACGTTGTACAAAATTGAATAACACATTCTTCAAGATGTTCTTCAACAAAACCACTATCAGAATAAATCGAAGAGTTAGTATTAGTATTTGTTGTTGATACACTTGTATCGGATAAAAATGAAACTGAAGTAACATCAGCTACAGAAAATTCATTAACATCATCAAGAATTTGCCGTAATTCATCATCTAATTGTCGACATAAACTAAATAATTGATTATTATGATCGAAATGTAAAAACAAATAAACAAAATAATATTACTTTTGAACATCCATTGAAATTGCAACAGCTTTCAATGAAAATTTTGCATCACCAACAGGAATTCGATTGGTTGATGGTGTCCAAACATAATCACCTGGAATATTATTATCCATATCACTCCATATATAATCCAGAACGTTAAATTCCAATGACAATCTATATGATAAATAATTCAATACAATATATCAAAAACTCTACATCTCTTATATTATCAGATTTAGTATTAGGAAAATAAATTTGTCAGTGAAATGCCTTTGAAGACTGAAATATAAAACTCACATATATTCTCTAGCCTCACTAGAGAAACAGGAAATAGTTATTTTCCAAGGCTAATCAAAAGCCAGGAAAACGATCTGTTTTATTTATTTCTATATTTTGTATGAAAATTTATTGTTTACTATTATTCTATTTTTGTTTGTCTTGTTGTTAATTGCTCGTTATATTTCTTAACTTAACATTATAATTATTCTAACCATTTATTTAACTTATAATTAAGCTAATGGTACACATTCACCATACCCATAGTAGGTTATTATATAGTTGGATAAACTCAAAAATACTGATATTCATTATTTTCATAGTTATAATTTAGTTAATTTGAGGTTTTTACGTGGATCATACTATGGTAACAGTAGCAAATCAATACACATCATAATAGAGACGAAGAGAGCCGAACTACTTGGATATAAAGC